CAATTGCGGGAATTTTTCGAAACACAAATTTGTTTGGATCCTGGGCGCGTCCTGGTAATGCTTGCTGGCAAGATTGAGCATGTTCGTAATAAAGCGCTCGTCGGTAAAGTGATGGCCCGCAATAATTGCACTAGACAGAAGGTCTTCTAGGACCACCTGAGGCTTGCGCATGGTGATGATGTTTCTTGTTTGGCACGCCATTACGAATAACGTCTTTTGAAGCATTCTTGTATTTGATATAATTACTGCCACCAGAGACTGCGAACTGTGAGGTAATGCGTTCCGCAACTCGGCGAGGTCGAAGGTCGAGTCGGCTGCCTAGGGCCCTGGGCACCCAGGCAGCGCGACCCTCATCTCAGAAAGGTCAAACATCGACATTGAGAGCTTACTTTGTAAACGATGGGGCCGATTGAGCTTTAAATCGGGAGGTGTAGCCTGCCTAAATGCCTTTCAAGTGCTGATGAGAACGCCAGAGTTTTGATGGCTGCCTAGAGAACACGATAAACCGGGAACAATTCGGGCTAATGGAAGCGGCTTACCACACATATTCCGGCTTCAAATCCGCAGCGCATGCCAATTTTTAGGTCTTGCCTCTTTCTTGACGAACCATTAGGTTCTGCGCTTGGATATCATATTTGTCGTTGCCTGTCTTCTCTTTCTGAAAGAAAAGACGCGGTGTATTTTGCCCCTCACCGACACACCAGCTGTTCGCTCTAAGAATCATCTGATAGATGTTCGCTAAACCTAGGCTCAATTGATCGAGTGGTTCGTTGAATCCCATCTAAGCTAGTATTTGTTCTTCGCGATAGCTGTGGAAGCAGTCGGCATGCATTCATAGAAGGTACTGCTGAGACTGTTTGTACATTGTTTTTATTCTGTTTGTACTGAGAATATGAAGTTGTGAAATCAAAGTGAGACTGAAAAGCTCAAGCCTCTGATGCAAACATAATCGCTTGTGTATGATGACCCATCCAAACTGACCCCTATCATATTCCCCCTCGCACTTAGACGCAGGCGACGGTCTGTGTGCAGCTGTCGCCTCGCTTAAGACCCTTGCAGGCGTCCTCGTTGTCCTTGGTGGCCTTGTCATCGAAGGTGTCAGTCTTGCCGCGCTGGCAGACGCCGGTGTTGCCAGTGCAGAAGAGGTTGGTGCCCTGTTGGCAGACAGACAGATAGTTGGCGGTCTCGTAGGTGGTGGCGCGAGGGACAGACGCAGCCGAGGCGACAGCGGCCAGGGCAAGGACAGCGAAGGTAGGGAACTGCATTTTGAATGTGTCGTGTGTTGGTTTGTTTACTCGAAGAGAGCGTTGATTGAAGAGAGTGAGAGTTGATGGAATGAGTGAAGTGGGTTGATAGAGGCTGATTGAGTTGAATGATGAGCAAGAAATACGGTGGGTGCTTCTTCTTTTCTTATATGCTGTCTTTGTCGCCTGGGAAGCTATTGATCAGCGCTCGGGTAGATCGCGATTTCCCTGACTCAAACGAGGTTCCTCGGTTCCAGGGACTGTGTCGTCGCGAATAGAATCTCCCCAGGGGTGTTGTGGGACGTTGGCGGCTGGGCGAAAGCTCCCTCCACTATCAGCTCACTCAGGCCTGAGCGTTGTCGGGGTTCCCGCTTGCAGCGACGCGAGAACCTTAATGAACATAGCGAGGTGTGGCATTGCTTCATGCGCGCCGAATAGATTAATAGTGACGTTTCAGCCCTCTCTTGTTGCCTCCTAATCTGGATTAGACGGACCTGGGTTATTACCCCAGACAAGTCACCTGGAGGACTTTTTGAATAGAGTTATTGCAATTGAGCTCGCTTTCAGGGACGATATTCCGGATAAATCGGCTGCGTCACATCGAACCACGTTCGAAGCCTAGTCCAAATATTGCCGATACAATCCATTGGAACTTGCTCAGGACTATTTTCAGATTAATCCTGGTTACAAATGCTTAGAAAGAGTCCAGAAGCACTTTGGAACGCTAGCTTCGAGTTTCTGTTTGGCTAACTGCCAGAGTCTTGGTAAGGTGCTCAATTCTGTCGGTTCTTGGCAATCTCGACTTGGCTCAACGAATAGAGGGTTCATCCAATGACCAACATTGTCTGTCTAACTTGGGGACACTGGATATCATGGGAACTTCAAACCACCTGCCTGACAAGCCGGATGCACTGAGAATCCGTATGTATCAATCAACTGATGCCGTTGCATCTATCGAGAAGTCACGGTTTCGTTTCGGCCACCTCGTGTCTGCGACGACCCACAAAGCCCTGGAAACAGGTCGCCCTGACTCGGCAAATCCTGCTTGAAGCAACAGAGCGCTGAAGCTCAACACCCGTCACCGCAGCACTGGGCCTAGAACTCTCAGTGCCGTCGGCCGCGGCTACATCGATGCTCCTTGCACTTATGCTCCGATCCGCGCGGCTCGATTCACAAACAGGACTTTTTTAGACAGACGGACGGACGGACATTCGACGGTCTTCCAAAGAGAAGAAAACTGGATGGATTAAGCCTTGCAATGGTTCGTCCTTAACCAGACGCCTTTCAATCCGGAACCGCGCACAACCCTCCGCACATTTGGGGCCACCCACTTACTCGAACACTTTTTTCCATACCCAGAGGCTCCGCGTGTTGGTGTATTGCTTGAATCCTTCAATGCCCCATTCCATTCCAATGCCACTCTCCTTGTGACCTCCGAAGGGAACATTGGGTGCAACGTCAAAATGCGAGTTGACCCAGACGCTTCCGGCACTGAGGCACCGGGCCATCCGCTCAGCGCGCTTCAAATCCTTGCTCCACACTGATGCGCCGAGGCCCGTTTCAAGGCCGTTGGCACGGTCGATTACATCTTCCTCGGAGGACCACTTCAGCAACGGCACAATTGGTCCAAACGGCTCTTCTTTGACGATGCGAGAGTCCTCAGGTGGATTATCAATGATCGCAGGCTCGATGAAGTAGCCTTTGGAGGTTTCACGGACAGAACCCTCCAGTGCTGTTTTCCAACCGCACTTTTCGATGTCTGCGTACATGTTCTTGACCAGCTCATATCTGGTCCATCATCGTTAGTATGGTATTGCAATCGGCAGATTTGAACATTGATAAGGTACTCACTGCATGCTGTTTTGGAGAGGCCCAACAACAACATCCGGCTCAAAGCCCCCACCAGTCTTGATGTTGTTTTTAGTGAACTCTACCATGGCATCTCTGAACTCATCATAGATCTTTTCGTGGACGTAGATTCGCTTCACTAGCATGCAGATCTGGCCCGAGTTCAAAAAGGCAAGTGTTGCGATCTTGGGTAGGCACTTAGAGATGTCAACATCCTCGCAGAGAATGGCAGCATCGTTGCCGCCAAGCTCGAGAAGACATCTCTTGAGAGTTTTGGCGCAGCTCTCCGCGACTCTCTTCCCCGTAGCAATCGATCCGGTGAAAGCGATCATGTCGATTCCTGGGTGTGCTGTTATCCATGGACCGAGATCATCGTTGCCACTAAGGACCTGGAACACTCCCGGAGGGAAGATAGACATTGCGATCTCGCCCAGCTTCAGGTCGCAGTACGGCGTGTAAGGTGACGGCTTCATGATGATTGTGTTGCCCGTCATCAACGCAGGTCCGACCTTGCCCAAACCCAACAGCATTGGCCAGTTCCAGGGAACAATGGCACCACAAACTCCAAGGGGAGGGAACGTCGAGTAGATGGTTCTCTCGTTGTTGTCCTCGAGAACCTCGTCTTTCACTTTCATAGTTGCAAAAGCACGCAGCCAAGCTATAGTCATGGTCATCTCCGAGTTAGCTAGGCCCAAAGGCTTGCCCTGCTCCATGGTCTGCAGCTTCTCTAGGCTTTCCCTGTTTTCTTCAATAGCGTCCGCATACTGCAACACAAGCTTTGACCTCTCCTCATGAGTTGTCTTGCCCCACGTCTTGAAAGCCTTCCTGGCGTGTTGAACTGCGTCATCGAGCTGTTGCTTGGTGGCGACTGGCACCTCGTAGAGAGGCTCTTCCGTTGCAGGGTCAATGGAGTGCCGGGTTTCAGCTGTTGGTGCAAATTCTCCGTTGATAATATTGCCCGGATAGGTCTGGATTTCATAAGCTGGAATATCTTTATGACAACGAAGATACTCATTCTACCTTGATATCAATCGCTGGGGCCATGATTGCAGTCTGAGATGCCCCCAGAAGAGAAAACAATCAGATGAAATTTGAGAAGACTCGGTCAGAAAAACGTGTCAATCGAAAAGTCTAGGCGAATCCATACTTTTAGTTGTCATTTATGAGAACACAACTTGTCAGCCGGAACAACATTCCGTTCCGACAGCGATGAAACTTATCTACGGAACACCAAAGTACCTTTACCCCGCAGGCTGCGCATATTCCGATGTAAGACTGCGTGGCACTGTGGAGGGATGATAAGCTGAAGACTTTTGAACTTGCGCTAGCGTTACTTCTTGTGGTTGGTCGCCTTTTTGCCCGTCGACCTTGATTCGCCCAGAGTCTTACCTTTCCCTGTGATCTCACATAAGACGAACCCTAGAGGATGCTGATCCATCCCAAATCTGGTGTCACCACGAATTTCCCTAGGATCATGAACAAATGAAACCACTCGAACTCCATGCGTTGGGCCGATGCATTGTCATCCTAATGTCGTGTTTCTCGAAAGACTTGGCTCTGTTCTTTAACCGGGGACTTTGGTACGACAGAAGACCATTTTTTGGCGACACTTGGAAGATGACGGATGCATGGTGGAATCGCAGTTCAGTAGCCACAAGGGTCTTCACATGTTCTCAAGTGGGACGTGACTGTCTAGAAGATCGATATTGTTCCCCGGCAGATTGGGTATGAGAGGCAATCTCAGGCTGTTCGATGCAACCTAAAGTTCAGGGTACGGCAGAAGCCTTTCTGAATTATTATACTGGGCAATGTAACTAATCCCGATCCTGACAAGGTTGAAGATCTCGCTTGCGACGCCACGATCTGACCAAACACTGGGGCGCGGAGACTTTTCGTCTGGTATTCGAAATGTTTCCGGCAGGTGAGCTCGGTCTTGCGGATCTAGCAGAGCGATTTGAAATTTGATGGCAAAAGGCGTGACAAGACCTTCCAGTGATTTATGTATAAGTACTACAGTGTTCTCTTGTGCTGCATGATGTGGAATGTGAAATCAAGCCTTCAAGGTGAAGCAAGCAATAAAGCAACCAAATCTCCACCATGTCAGACCAGCATGACCCAGAATACCTTCTTCGCGAAACGAAGCGCGAGATTGAACGACTCCGAAAACAGCACCAATGATTCCAAGGCTGTCTAGATAACAAGATTGTCTTCGCACCGGTAGATCTCAGTGATCCGTCTCTAAAGGTTCTCGACGTCCGCTGTGCTGATGGTAAGTCCCGACCGCCTGGTTCAAATTTCCCCTTATTATCATTCTGATCAGTCGACCTAGGAATCCTTTTGAGAGATCTCAGACAAGAGCTTGCGCCATCTGCACAACTTGTCGGTTTCGATTACATGCCTTCCTTCCTCCCTGAATTTCCCGATGGCAACATTCGCTACACGACCGGAGATGCATGTGAACGGCCAGCACCTGACTTAGCCGGAACCTTCAACTTCACTCATGTTCGTTTCGTCCTACCAGGATGCGGAAAAGCCGGTGCGGATCGTGTAGTCTCCAACCTAGCAGGTAGGTCTTGATGGTGCTGGAATGGTGCAGCTTTACTTAACTAGACCTCAGAAACACTTGCGCCGGGAGGCTGGCTTCAGATCCAAGAGATGGATCTTTCAGCAGGTCGCACCGAGCATTTCTCTGCATTCAACGAGGTTCTTCAACTCTTTGAAGCCGTTTTCGAAGAGGGTGGTATGGGAGGTCGTTTCAGCTCCAAGTTTGATGAATCATTCACCAAGGCCGGGCTAAAGAACGTGACACTGCAACGCCTCGAGATCCCCGCAGGAAAGAGAATTGCGGGCGAAACCCTTCGAAAATTGTCTATCGAACCTTTTAAATTGACAATTCCAACAGTCATTGGGGCGGCAAAAGGTACGAGTTTATAAAATGGTCTGAATAGAATGGCAACCGGACAATGACAAATTACTAACAGTATTCAATAGCAATGGGCCTTGAACTCCCAGAGTCCATCTTTGATCGTTTGGAAGAGCGCTTTGAGCATGAAATGCTCGAGACAGGGGCAGCTTTTGGCACATTCGTCGCTTGTGATCAAAGGCCTCTGCAATGAAAGCCCATGTAATACTTACCTGCCAAATCTAATACATCGCAAGCAGTCCATGGTTTACACTGTGTCATTCTCTCATGAATTTATTACAAAGATCGTCTCAATGCTTGAATAGCCCGGGTTTTTGTCTCCTGCCATGTGTCTACAGGGTCTGAAGACTTGCACTGAGGGTTTCTGCAATACGGCAGAGTCGCATTTAAAGTTTTCGGGCGATCATTAGGGGTCAATATGCAGCGATCTTCATCTGAAGCCTATCAGATGAACGTTTCAGCATGAGCTGAATTCAACATTTGGAAAGAATGCCGTGACATTGAGTATTATTGCATTGTCTAGATTTCCATGACAAGTCGAAGGGTGCGACTCTTAGTTTGATCCCGGTCCGCCTCCCATCATCGAGAAAGTGCTTCACCATGCTGTTAGCATTCGAGGCCCATCAATAGTAGCGAAACTCGCTTCCCAAGATAGAGCTTACCTGGACCACTTTCTACCCGCAGCAGCCCTGGCCGGCGCAGAACGCTCTGTTGCTGTTGTTGCAAGCATTGGCGCGAATGCAAGTAGAGCAAAGGTCTTGGCGCTTGACGAGAGCCCAGTCAACCTCTGTGTCCGCACGAGGAGTAACGGCTGCGCCAAATACTGAAGTGGCAGCGAGAACAAGAAGCATGGAAGACCTCATGTTGAATCGTAAAGTGAATGGTCTTAAGTTATCGGGAGGATAGAAGCTGTAGAAGCGATGGTTGATGAGGAGAAGAGCGAATAATCAAAGTGAGAGAGACAGACTGCGACTTTTATAGAAGACCACCAGACCATCAGACCGTCCGGCGACTTTCTGTCCGCAATATTCCGTATTTCATGAGTTGTGGACCCAGCGGCCCTCTCATTCTGGAACATGGGGTGTCTTAGCGACTGCGTTGAGGTGAGAATGGGCAAATGCGAGGTATCCGAGATATGCGGAAAAGAAAAGCAGGAGCCTCTACAGCAATTTAATTGAGTTTGCACAAATCAGTCTCAGCTTTTGTCCTTCGTTACAGCATAGATCGGTCACCCCGTCCGTTGGGCTTGAGTTCGTTGTTTGTATGGTTGGCGATACCCAACCAGGCATGCACGAAGCCGCTCAGCGTTGACTACAGGCTTGTCAGCTTCTGTTCATGTGGCATCTCTTGGAGTTTTCTTTTCAGATCATTTTGATTCCCCGACATGCTCCGCTACCAACCTGTGACAGCCGTACTAAAAAGAAAAGTTCGAGTGAGCTACTAAGGGTTTGATTTTGGAAGGCTGTATGTTGGTCACGTCATGAAGTCTTCATTTGAAAGCTCCCCCAGGGAATATCTTAGCCGCAGTCAGCATCAGACGTTTGGTCTTTCTCAGAGACGACACCACCGAACAACGCCGGTCATTGCTGGAAAACGAATCAATATTCCTAATGTCACATGTTGCCGTGCAACACATACATAAGGTAAGCCACGGACAATACGAAAACGTCATGGTATGAGTTTCAATCGCGTTTGGCGCGCTCTTATTTTCAAAAGACAAACTTTCCGTCCGGATGTTCACATCTTCAAAAAGTTCGCATATGCACAAAATGATGATTTTGGTTTAGGAACTGCCTCATTCCCAAGAAAAGAGCCTGATTTGAATAGTAATAAATTTTACAACATATGTCCATGTGACCTGGTGATCTAACGAAAGAGAGACGTACACAATCGGTTCGCGACTGCTTTGAAAGTAATTCGATGCTTTACTCAACCGACTTCAAGCTGAATTCCTTTACGAGGACAGAGCCACCCAGAGACTTGGTTGCAAAGTTCAGCACCGCGAATCTGAAGGCCATGAAATATTGCCAGCGGTTGTGGAGATGCCAGCTGTCTCCAAGCTGAGTAAAGGTCTCTCCATCAGTGCTATACGAGAGCTGCGCAGCATTGGTGTTCTCTGCAACCCAGAAGGAAGGCGTAATATCGGCCGTAGCCCTCAACCAGATATCTCCGGCTCCAGTGACAATCATCGTTAGGTCAATTTCCGCAGTGGCTACGACGGTGCCATTCGAGGTAGTCTGCCACCCTGTACTCTCGGGGGCCAGGATGTCATGAACGGCGAACAGCTTGAGAGAGTCGCCCTGTTTTTGAAGACCAACGTAAGCCGACTCGTCCCTGAAGATGGAGACGCCAGTGATGTCCCCATCCGCCATGTTGGCTAGGTTAAGGCGGAAAGTACCACTGCTCTTGGGCCCCAGAATGCGGTGCGTGAGAGTGTTGCGGGCCGAGTACAGATCGTACGTTACCGTCGCCGTGTGGAGTGTGAGGCCGTCAGCTCCGAGCTCCCAAGCGGTGTTGTCAGGGTTGTGGTTCCACTCCCACTCTGGGCCAAGTTTAGATCCATCGAAGCTATCCAAAACTTCTCCGACTTGGTTGACAGTCTTATCTGTAGTCACAGGCAAGGGGTAAGTCTTTCCCCATCCTCCGGCCTCGTCAGTCACAATATGAGGCCAGCCCTCTTCGTCCCATGAAAGCGGAGCCAGAACGGGAATGCGCCCAGTTGGGTAGGCGTCAAGGAAGCCCATATAGAACCAATTGCCTTCGGGAGTATCGATAATACCGCCCTGATGAGGTACTCCTGAGTTGGGAATTGGAGAAGTCATGCGTTCGAGAACGGTTTTGTTTGTGTACGGGCCCCAAGGGTTGTCGGCCTTCAAAACATGCTGCTCGTCTGCAGGCTTAGTCACCCAAATGTAGTAGCTGCCATTGATATGATAGAATCTGGATCCTTCCAAGTAGCGCGTGGAATCGGTCCATACCACCTACACACAGTTAATAACAGCCTCATCGAACACAACACGGCAACTGACCTCTTGTCGGACGGGTTGTAAGCCATCAGCAGACATCTGAGCAACGCTGATGTTGTACTTTCCATATGCAATGTACATCGTATCGTCTTCGTCGACAAGAACTCCAAGATCGTAAAAGCACTCGTCCAGCGGCGGGTGGCTCTGCCACTCGCCGGCGGGATCCGACGCAGTGAAGATGTATGTCTTGCTGAAGTCGATGCATCCATACCAGTAGAACAGTCCGTTACTCTCGCGGTACTGCAGAGAGCTTGCCCAGATGCCACCAACGTACGCCCTTTCGGTGCTGTTCAGGTAGTACTTCTCGCCGAAAGTCAGCTCTGGTACGGAGTGTCCGATGAACTCCCAGTTGATGAGGTCGTAACTTTTCAAAACGGGTGCGCCGGGAGAGTAGTGCATTGTCGAGGCCGTGTAGTAATAGGTGTCGCCGACGCGAATGACTTCGAGGTCGGCGAGATCCTCATAGATCACGGGGTTGTCGAAAGTCTGAGCCACCGCCATGGTGGCGGCGAGGACGGTCGACGCCAGCTGAAGAAGCTTCATCGTGATTGTAGACTGAGATCAGCGCCTTAGCGGTTGCCCATCAATCATGCGAAACAAGTGAGATCATGTACGAAGCATTATATATATTGATCAGATTGATATCAAACCATTTCCTGCCTCCATCGACGAGTTCCCGAGCGGTTCGCGGTCCGTACACTCCACCACGCGACGCAACATCATCCCACCGGTTCAAAGAATAGTTACGCAGTTGCCAAGTCTTTCCACTTGCGCACAAATGAGTGCCCTTCTCACTCCCGAACCTGGTTGCTGATCGAGTTGTGATTGGTGCGCAAGGCGTCGGTTGGGTTGAGCTGGGGCGCTTAAGTGCGGAGGCGGGGAATGTTCCAATCTGGGGATCGTCTCCAGCTTCGTGCGGAGAAACAACGGGCCATGATCCTATGGTCCAAAACTGCTACGTCTTTCTAGCTGATCTCAATGTCGGATAGAAAATAAATCTCCGGCCGCTGAGCCGCCATGAGGTTATTCGCATGGATAGCGCGTATCGTCAAACAGCAATGTCAGGTGTTCGCAGTCAAACTTGACGTGAATCTTGTGGGCAAATTCAACATCTCATCCTGTATTTCTCAAAGACAGGCATAGACTACTCAGCTCGAAAGCCAACTTTTCATATCACGGGACTTGAACTGAAATACGATTGCCAGAGTTCTCTGGAAAGAAAATGTATCGTGTGCCAAACCAGCAGTGAAGTAAGCACCGTGCCGTTAACAACCACAGTACGAGAAAATTTTTCATCGACATACATAGTGTTTTCTCTGCATACAGTTCATATCGCACTTGAAGGGCTTTTGCTCTTTACACAAGGTTGAAGGGAAGCGGTTTCTCTAAGTAAGTAATTATATGTGCAACGCAACGATGTTGAGGCTATCCAGATCCATCACCAAAACGAGTAGCGGTCAACAAACGCGTCGGGTATTAATTCCGGTACCGGTTGCCGGTGATTGACATGCTAGCCATTCCCCTCCAAGGTCGATGAGGAAGCGAGTCATACATAATCAAAGGCATCGATTATGCCGTCTTCCGGCTTGGACCCCGCTGTTATAATACCCCCGGATAAGGTACTTTCCACAAACTATCAACATTGAACTCCTGAAACTGGCAGTTGGCTACTCCCATGATGTACTTGTTGTAGACCTTAGGTTGTGAAGCGGTGTTACGCCTTTGCGTAAGGTTTCGGGACTTAGTAATGTTATACGGCAACATCATGTGGGAAGTTCATGCTAGATCTCGCAATCCGCTCGCAATCGCGGTCCTGCAGACGAAATAGGAACGCGAGCATCACCAGTCCTGGGTATCATCTCCGAAACATCCTATGGAACAAAAGTCAGCTATGCAGAGATATACACGCATCCCATGGCTACTGCCGAAGAGAATAGGGGCATATACTATGTGCTTAAACCGCGCGGCTTCGTCCGTTTCCGCGGAACTGTACTCAAGTCACAAACTGGCCCGTACGCTTTGTTTTGATGAGAAGCGCCGGCCCCAACCCGATGGAGATGAACCCCCTTCCCCTTGAGTGATCATGCTATTGGACTGTGACTTTGTCCCAATCAGCTGGCATCTCCAAGCACCAGCTTTCTCAATAAATATCTCCACTCCAGATCCAAGCTCCTCAAATCAGTTGAGCCAGATAGTATGGAACATTGCCGAATACGGACGGGCTTGCTCAAATTTGGAAGATCTCCCGTTGAGTAATCCATGTGACTGAAGCTTGGCTCGCCGAAGACGCCGCTCGCGCGTATGCCCTCAGAATAGATCAAAAAGTCTATGGTCCTCCTTACGCTTATTAACGGCGTAATGCCAAGTCTCGATGGCAAAAGGAAAACAGCCAGATGCTTGAATTCAGACTATAGAGCAATATCTGACCAAGGCGACAGATGCAGATTTTGGAAGTCAAGCCCGTTTTTGGTCCGTCCAAGTCCGTCAGTCATCCCTTCGGGGCCAACACGAGGTTGCATTCTGGTAGACTCCTCCGTTGTATTGATGCAGTTCGGATGGATGTCCCGGCATTGGCGGGCACCGCCTCAGGGTCACTGTTTCTGGAAGGCTTCAAAATCGATCGGAAGTCTCGGGAGTCATTGGCAGCCCGAGTGGCTTGGTGCTGGGTGGGACTCTGGACCTTTCCCCAGCCCCACGCGGAGGTGCTTCACCAGCCCGAAACCGAACCAGGAATGCCCCGGGTTGACTCAAGACTTTTGAAAGTAGGTATTGTGACTCTGTTGCTTCATCTCGCCAATGTCGAATATTAAATTGGCGGCCAAATTTTTGAAGCGGTGAAACGGCAACGATGTGCCTTCACCAAATTGAAATCATGAATGGAATTGTATGACGTCTTCTGATGAATAGCCTGATGATGAGTCGGGTCCAGCCCGATTGCAGTTGGAGATGAGACTGAAGCGTTCGGACGATGTGGTGGGGCTCAGGTTGATGAGGCTCAAACCTTGTTTGATTGCCCCGGCTATTAAGTCCCGTGATATTGGTGACATGTAAGTCGAGACCAACAAGAACCAACTTTTTTGACCAACCACTTCTAAGGTTGGCGGCTAAATCGAGAACTCTGCCACGTGAGTTCTTGCAATGGACTTTTGAACTTTGGTCCTCCACTTCTCGTGGCAGAATTTTCAAGTATCCCGAGATACTGCATCATCATCGACATGACCGTCACCGTCAAATTGAAGTGGCCAAGAAGAAACGCGTAAGGGGGCAACGGTTTCTGCTCAGTGAAAGGGGGGTTTTAGAGTGCGAATAGATTGAGCTTCTAGAAACGTCGTCTCAACTCTCCAACAACACCGGACGATTCGACAAGGATGGCCCCAGATTGACAGCCAACATGAGTCAAAAAAGGGGGGAAATCTCCAGAAATTAGAGTTTGAGCACCTCACCCTACTGGGAACATGATCATGCCCGAGAGTGCCGATGTCCCAGCGCCGTGGCTCGGGGACAGCTTCGCTCGGCTCGCCGTGACAGCGACAGCAAGCCAGGAACGCGGTTCCATCGCATCTCTCGCCCTGCGGCCACGTTCCCCGCGGACAGGCCCTTGGGGTCAACAACCGTCTGGAAATGGCTTCAGCCCATCTGAACTCAACCTCGCATAGCCCCCCCTGAGCCCCTTGCGACCCACAAACAACATTGACCGAGGCCATTCGAACTGACAACTCCCGAATCTAGCATGCTAGCGTCAAAGCTGTTGGTTTCCTCCCCTTTCCCCCTTGGGGCCGGGGCGGCAATCAGTTGTATAAGTAGATGAGAGATCGTCAGTGTTGAGCAGATTTTCTGAAGCATCATCAGCATCCAGCTCTTCGATCCAGTCTTTCGCTAAACCAGCTACACAATCGTTTCAACTTACCCAAATTCACTCGCTGTCCATTTAATCATCTTTTTTTGATACCATCCAAATCGTTCAAAATGCAGACCTCTTACATCTTCACCACCCTCCTCGCCGCTGCCGGCCTCGTTGCCGCTCTTCCTGTAAGTAGACGACTCGACGCCATTTCCCCGGGATCAGCGCTTTGAGCTGTCTTCCACCACACATCTGCAAACAACACAAGCACCCAAGACCATTCTTGCTAACAACCTATACAGCAGGCTACTCCCACCCAGGTCACCCCCACGGGCACCGCCTCGGCCACCGCTTCCGCCACCCCCACCTGCTCCCAGGGCCCCGTCGTCGACTACACCGTTGTCTCCGGCGACACCCTCACCATCATCTCGCAGAAGCTGAGCTCCGGCATCTGCGACATCGCCAAGCTCAACAGCCTCGAGAACCCCAACCTCATCCTCCTCGGCCAGGTCCTCAAGGTCCCCACCCACATCTGCAACCCCGACAACACCTCCTGCCTGTCCAAGCCCGGCACCGCCACCTGCGTCGAGGGCGGCCCCGCCACCTACACCATCCAGAAGGGCGACACCTTCTTCATCGTCGCCGGCGACCTCGGCCTCGACGTCAACGCCCTGCTCGCTGCCAACGAGGGCGTCGACCCCCTCCTCCTCCAGGAGGGCCAGGTCATCAACATCCCCGTCTGCGAATAAGCGGGTCATTGCGGTTGATGACACCTTCCGGCGGCTTGGTCTGGTGACCCGGTTGTCGGCATCAGTGCGGAATAGCGTGCTTGGGATTTCCTAGTGTATGGGTCCGGTTCTGTGAAGTCACATAGATGGTAGCTCACTGCTGAAAATTGAACTGGATATAATCATTTTGTCTTCTCATTCATTACAGTGCCGGTTGTGGCCATCGCATACTGCCCTGGAGCTTGAGATGCATGCAAAGAGTAGACTTTACTCAGCTTTTTGCACTAGACTATCGATTAGGACGCTACTAGGTACTGAAACGCGAAGGTTCGGTGCAAGAGACAGGCGTAATAATGATTATCTATGCCTTGGTTTAGGGGGCTGTTTCCTGAGTTTCTGTCAGCTTCTTCAGCACCTTGTCGTTCGTTGCTAGGAAAGTTGCCAAAATGGTCAAGCGTAATCATGGAACATAATGAGGCCACAACTTCTGCTTATATGTGTACAAAGCGGCACCGCTATTGGTATCATTTAAGCACTATTCCTCCAGTTTAGTCAAGACCAAACTCGACTCCATAACTCCTATTCGACTTCTCCATGAACCTTTCACTTTTCTCACGCCGACTCTCTCTTCTCGACCTTCTCCGCCTGCGCTTGCGCTTCATGCCTCGCCACCCCAGCGGCGGAGTCTTTGCCGTCAAACAGCACCGCAATCTCCTCCAGCGTGGGGCCTCTGGTCTCCACAAAGAAGAAGTAGATGACCAAGACCTCAATAACCAAGCTGGCGGCCTTTATTAGTAAAATGTCCCAGACACAAAATCGGGTACGACACTTACATTGCAATGTAAACAAAGTAGAAACGCCATTCCAACTGCTCAATTCCGAGCGGGTTGACCCACTGGTTAAAGACACCGCTCAGCGCCGTGAAGCAGAAGCACAGCGTGAGACCCTTGGCGCGGATATTGTAGGGGAGAATCTCGACGGTGTAAGAGACGGTCAAACCAGGCCAAGCAGCGCCAGCGACACCTGAGAGGAAGTTTTGTCAGTAAGAGACACTTACATCAGAACACTCGGATTTATTACGTACCGTAAAATACAAATATCATCGCTACCACAGCGATGCCAGCCGAAGACGACTCTGTCTGAGCGTAGACTGCGCTACACGCCGTCCAGACAGAGAATGAAAGCAGCATGCCAATGCCGGCAAAGAGGAACAGAACGCGGCGTCCGATCCGGTCGACGAAAAATGCGGCGGTGAGCGATACAAGCCAGGACCAGATGGTGAGGCCGCCGTTGATGTACGACTGTGTAATCGAGCTGTCGAAGAACCGCGTCAGCATGTTATCGCCAGTCTCCCGAAACCTGCAACTCACTCCTTGATACCGATAGTATTCAGAATGACTGCCTCGAACATCAGTTGCCGTCCACACTATCATAAAACACATATCAAAACTGACCACTCAGATAATACGAAACCAGGCCGTTTCCAGAGCACTGCGAGAAGATAGCCGTCGCAATGATCAAAGCGCACCGCTTGCGGTTACCCGGCGTGCGCACCAGCTCCATCCACCCGCTGTTCGCCGCGGCCTCCCTCTCCAGCTTGAGGGTGCTCGAGATCTCAGCAAACTCCCAGTGCGCGAACGCGTCTGTCTCGTCGCCGTTGCCGTGGTACTTGATGAGCACCCGCTTCGCCTGCTCCTCCTTGCCCTTGCTGATGAGCCAGCGCGGGCTCTCGGGCAGGAACCACACGGCGAGCAGCTGGATCCCGGGCATCATGCACTGGAGGCCGGTGGGCAGGCGCCATTGGATGTCGCCGTGTTGCTGGGTGAGTGTGCCGAAGCCTGGTGAGGCTGTCAGGGAGTGCGCAAAGGGGGTGTTGGTGTGGGTGACTTACAAGTCCAGGCTGCGATGATCGAACCGAGGTCTGATTTCAAACAGTCAGCAGTGCATTTTCTCCCCCAGATATGCTTTTCTTACACCAGAGCGTATTGTAGAGAGTCGTGACCTTGCCGCGGTGTCTCGGATGCGCGACCTCGGTGATGAGCAGCGGGCACGTGCCGTTGGAGATGTTGGAGCCCGCGCCCATGATGAAGCGGCCGATGAGGTACATTGCGTCTCTGCCTGCGCCCTCTTTGGGGAAGGCCTGCAGGAGAGCGCCGGCAACGACGAAGACGCATCCGACGGCGGTGCCGGTCTTTCGGCCGAGGCCGTCGGCGATATACGGGGCGAAGAGGAGGACGAAGAGACCGCCGAAGCCGGGCATGGCGCCAAAGATGCCGAGACGGCTTCCAGTCGGGTGGTCAAAGTCTGAGTGAGACGGTGTCAGTTCGCCGTCGCGATGTCACGCTCAAATAGAAGTTCCGGAAGAGGGAGTGTTCCTTTGGGCAGGATATGTTGGAGAAACAAGACAGCACTTACAAGACTGCCATGACTGCATGGTCTGAAGCCCGTTCAGCAAGCTTCCATCGTAGCCTAGTGTCGTCGATCCCAGGAAGAGGAAGACCATCATGAAGTACAGCTTCCTGAGCTCATGCTGCTTGTACCACGGCAGAGGCGATCCCTCGGGTGCGTCGAGGCGTGGTTCCTGCGTGATGTCGACATGGTCTACACCATGGCTCTCTGACTGCTTCAGCTCCATGGCGTATGGGAGATGTTAAGAACCGAGCTGTGTGAGTGAGAAGATGGAGCTGTTGTCGCCGGACTAGACTGGGGTTGCCGCGTGTCTCCCCGTTCCCATCCTCCTGGGAAGTCGAGAGATCTCCGAGTGTACTTATAGCAAATTCCGACTTCCGGGCTACAGCAGCAAGCAGCATGGCATCTCGATATTGCACGCCGCCTTATGCCGAATCTGGCTCGAATGGACCTGCCAACTAATTGCCTGGTGCCCTCTTTGAGCCAAGGGCAGAACAACAGGCCACCCGACAAAGAGCCGAGGGTCGTTTACTCCCGATGACGGGTTCCAAGAGAACAGACCATGCACGTCCAATGGCAGGACGTTGGGACGACGGCGTCACCAAGCGGCGCTTCGTTTCTCCAAGGGGGGGTATTACGGGGAGGGGCGGTTGTCAAGGCCAGTTGCAATCACGAGACTAGATCGTCATTGGAGCGAGTACAGACGAAGGGTGCCCCGTGGGGGTGGGAACAGTTTCTCGCGAAGGGGAAAGGCGGACGGGAAGGGGGACCCAATATTAGACTCCACATCTTGCGGCTTGCCCTGGGGTAAAAAGGCTCAGCTCCTTTGCGCATTGGAATCGCACGGGAACAGGTGGTGAGAGAGACGGCCCTGACACCGGGTTACGGATGTCGGTTTTTGCGTATGGTGATGGCGTGGTCGAATTGGCCAGTCGGGGGTGCCGCCAACATAACCCAGCTGCGCGGAATGGATTGTCTGGGGGAGCGACGACGCAGGATACGACGACGACTTGCTGCACTATTACTAACATCTACTCTGTACACAGAAACAACAAGCCGAGTTGCGAGAGTAATGATAGAGTTTGGTGTACACTCTGCAACTCAAAGTCTGCTGCATCGACTGGAGCTATGCGCGTTACGGTCTGGACCATGACTCGATTTGTGACGCCCCAGTGCGGGGACATCCCCTGGTCGTTTTAGTCTTCCGAGAGCCTCTTTACTCCGTCTGGAAGCCCACGTTCTACGGGGGGATGGGAGTTACTCCGATGTATATGCGAGGCGAGAGGGGTGGAAGGTTTTCGCTACGGTTGGAAAACAAGGAGCATCTGAAAACGAACACTGAAGAGCCAATTCTGCATGCTCTGCATGGACCGACAATTCTCCTCGGATGTCTCGAGACACCACTCGCGAGTCCCCAACGGCCGCAGCTGTGCCTTGTCCGTTCTCTCCAACCCGCCAATCTTTTCCCCAGCCTGTCTCGTCTTTCGCCACGCCCAAAGGGAAAATCCGACCGCACACCAGCCGACCGGGACCAAATCAATCACAAGGACCCATGCGGGCCACGTTTTGACGGACTGGATCCATCTCAAGCTTCTGCTTCGGCCTACCAGCTTCGAGAACCCATTCTGAAGCTATCTCTCCACGAGTTCGCCAATTGGGAGGGGGCGGGCCGTTTCCACCACGAGTTGTTCGGTTGAAGGTTGCAGGTTGTGTAGGTTCATGTTACCGTGAGTTGCGCAGCGGCGGTTGATTGCCGTCTACTGTCACTGTAGCACGACGCACGGCAGGGCGGTATTCCTGTTTTTGTCTGCCCGGCTATCCATCTTGCGCCTCCTCGGCATTAGATCTGGTTTTGGGTTGGGCTGGTCTCCTCCGGGAGCGGCTGACTGCTTTGACTACATACCATGGACATGGAGATCGACCGAGCAGTACAACATCAGCAGCAGCAGCAACCACCACCACCACCACCACGGCAACCACCGGACGGAAACGGGTCTCGCTCTCCACTTTCGACATCCCCGGCGTCGCCCGCCAGCGGCAGGCCGAGGACCAAGATCATCAGGAACCAGAATGCCTGCGACGCATGCCGGGCCCGCAAAGTCAGGGTGAGACGATTTTTCCAAGGAGTCTTTTTGTTCCTTTTTCTGCCCAGTAACTGTCTGTCATGTTTTCATTGACCATACAGTGTATGTCACTTGACATCTCGTAAACAACATCAGCACACCGGCCGGCTCAAATGACTGACTGACTGATCGGCAGTGTCTGTACGGGGCGGGCGAGACCCGGTGCCAAGGCTGCTCGTTCCTCGACATCCACTGCACACATGACCGGCCGCGGCGGAGGAGAGGGCCGCCGAACAAGTTCCGTCCAACCTAACCCACCCCCGGTCTGCAGCACACACATCCGATGTCGTTGTTGCACACCACCCCTGACCACTTACACTGACCAATATCAAACAGACATGCACAGCAACAACATCAACTCCAGGCTCATCAGCAGCAGCATCAGGCTTTACCCGGGCCATCTAACCAACAAAGCCCCTCGGCATCGGAGATCACCTCGCCGGACCTCAACCTCGCCTACCAGACCTCGCCGGCCTCCTCATCCGCCCA